TCAAGCCTGCGCAAAGTCAATTACTCATCCATTTCTTTCTTCTGGACATCTTGCCAGACCTTTTCTCAAGCCTGCGCAAAGTCAATTACACAATTTCTTGAGCTCATGGTAACCTTCTCTCTTGCACGCTTTTTCATCGGTAGATGGCACACCTTCCCCCCACTCAAAATGCGATGTCCCCATCGCACGACTAGTTCTCACTCGGAGGTACGCAGATCTTGGCCCACCAACGAGTAGACGGATGTCGGCCCATCAGTCCCAAAAAGGAAGGGTGATCAGTCCTCCCCCTGCTGATAACTCACCTCATCCTCTACTCCGTCTGACCTTTTGCTGCTTACGAGACGGACATCATCACTGAGGTACCTCCTCACATCTGGCAGGTAGGTCCAGTCCAAACCTCCTAGGACCCCGTCTTGCCGTAAGGGCTTTCTCGCGAATCGTTCTTCCCGAGTGGTGTTTTCTTGGATCTGGCCTCTTTCTTTCAAGAGAGTTGGGGCTCTCTATTAGTTTGCGAGTGCAGTTATGAAGACCTCGCGGTTAGTCCCGGAACGGTTGTAATGATCCGGTAGGGCGATGTCACTCGCCCTGTGGTGGTCGCGGCTTCCACCCGGTACCACGCCTGACTCCCTCTGGACAGTGCTGCTCAACTTAATGCGAGCAGCCGTGGTCCATTCCAAACGGTCGTGCCGCCCCTCCACGGAATGACGTGTGGTTGGGGAAAAAAAATGAGACTTAGAAATAGAATGGCTCTCTCGCCCGTTTGGCTCCACGCCCTTGACGTTTAGGTTCTCAACATGAGGCGCAGTTTGAACTCCCCGACTAAAGCTCGTTGTCGGAGTTAGTTCCGGACGGCCAGCATCAATCAAACAGAAAGGTGCTTTGGTCCTTCAACCCTTATCCATGCACCGCTGTCCCCCTCCTGTTGAGACCTGAGACTAGAAAAAGGAAAACTCCATGTATTGCTATTTCCATGATCGGTCTGATGACCTTACTCTAGGGTCCCCTGACTTATGCAATGCAATATCCAATCCTCAAACACTCAATCCAATGTTATTTCCAAAGCTGATTCTCATGGCTGGTCCGACAACCTCTCATCAACAAGGCCACCCCTTGTGGCCGCTCTGGCGGCCGCTTTCTCAATAGCCATCTTTCCAAGTGCCGACCCATCGACCCATCTTCAATCCTCAACCTTCACATTCCCTACTATCCATTCCTTATGACCGTCCCAATGATCTATGCCCTTCTCGATTTAAGGCTCAGCCTTGCTTATCTTGCCCTTCTCTTTTCAAAGCATCATTCTCTTTCATCCATCCTTATGGTTATTTCAATGACCGACTCACCGACCCTTTTCATCTCTTATTGCTCATTCCAGCTCGTCCTCAATCAGCCTTTCTCAATCAACCTTCAATATTGACGCGGAATTTGAAAAAAAGAGTCCAAATGTCGGCCCTCGAAGCGCACCATAGCAACGACGGACTCCAACTGCCTTCTATTTAATAGTTGACGTGTCGTGGACTGGCCTAATAGACAAGGCTTTGGAGCACATCTACGATCTCTGCTCCAACGAAAAACTAATCACAATGAAAAAAAAAAAAAAAAACTAGCAGGTGGATTGCTGACACAATAAACCTCCACCTGTCTTCTACTGTCACAGAACGCTAAAACAACACGTGCACGAAGATGGCGACTGTCGACGTCGCGACACCACCGAACCGCGCGCTCCAACCACGACCATCGACGACAACACGTGTAGCGCGATGGAGGGGTTCTACCCATCCGTCATGATGGATCACTGAACACGAACGGCGACCCGCCACCTCACGTTCCCCATCGCCCGACCAGCACCCCCCACCCAACCCCGTCCAGCCGCGGCCTTGCAGATGAACCACGTGTCACTTCTCGTTATCGCCATCGTCACCCACCGGAGGGCCGCTGCCGATCCACCCGTGTTTTGCTGCTTCCGTTGCATTCTTGAGGGCCGCGTTGTGGCCGGAAACCAACCCGCAATCGACCCATTCCGGGATGCAATGCGGGTAATCTCCCAGCGTGAGGTGGGCCTTCCCCAGACGATCCAAGACGAGGTTGGTGCTGTCAACGATGTGCCTCCGCCAGTTGAAGATGTAGGAGCCCGCCGCTATAAGTGTAGGTTTGGCGACCATGGACGCGTAGAATGATGCCTCGTAGTGCGAACGGTCGTCGTCACCGCCCATCCGCATGATCCACATGCACGCGCTCAACAGAACTCGGAGACAATCCGCAAGGCGCGTCAACCTATCCTGTTTCACGCGGCCACCGTCCGCCCATTGCCCGCACCAAACTGCATCTGTCCAGCAGTCTGCCAGGCGAAGAACTGTCGCCTCCTGCCGCGCCGCCGTGTCTTCGTCTTCGGGCCTATCCACAATCTTAACTCCAGCGAACCACAGAGGCACGTCCATCTTCATCGCCAACGTGTGGTAGACGAGCGCAAGGGAAACGACTTTCGACCATTCTAAAGCCTGCCAGACTCGCGCGACGTCTGTTGCGAAGTCCACTGTCACGTAAGATTCTCCACGAGCGAAGCCAGACGACCTCGACGACGATTTGAAGATCCGGCTGTGGATGGCACGCAGCACCACTTTCTCCACGTTGCTCGCTCTGCGCAGAGCCGGTTCACACTGCGCAGGGTCCTCGATCTTGAAGCGCGACACATCATTCGGCGGCATCACTAGCATCGAAGGCGGTTCTGCTCCTGCATCTCCATTGGCGATGGCCACTAAGTAGTCCGTGCAATCGCCTACCGCCTCCCTTAACGGCTTCCCCGGTCCCTGACCCCAGAATGCGTCACAGGCGATCCACAACTTCGACCTGTCTTCGAGGTCATCCTGTTTAATCACTTTCTTCACCATCGCCGAAACTGGGCGGTCGTCGTCATCATCGCCCCCCCCCTTGCCATCCTTCCTCCCATCATCGCGGCAGACGTCATCGACCCTCCCCTCTTCCGCAGCTTCCGCGACTCCGCTCCCGGTGGTGTTATCCGCCGCCGCCGTCCGACCACCGCCCGCCGTCGTGTCAACCTTTTGTGCAGACGGTGTTTTTTCCACCCCTGAAGTCCCCGCCTGTTGTAGCGCGGGAGTGGCTGACGCGGATGCACCTGCCCGACCTTTGGCGGAACTTGTCTCGCCACGCGCGCGTCCGTCATGACAATCCCTGCCGCCTTAGGGGTTCGTGCCAACGTGACGGCGACACCACCGACCAAGCTTTGCTTCAAAGCAGCCAGCTGCTCCCTCGACACCCCGTCCCGCCCAAACCCCAATCGATTCATGACGTCCACCCCTTGTATATCCACCATCGACACTTCCTCGCCCTGCATATCCCCAGTATGTTCGGAGCTTTCGTCATCGAAGCGCGGCCTTTTCGACTTCGGCACGTGCCCTCTGCCTTTTTGGCTTTCCCCACCGTCGCCCGATCCGCCGTTTCTCTTCCCCTTCCCTGAAGCGCCGCGCGCTGCCATGTCGTCCTCAAGAAGACAAATAAGAAGTGCGTGCCGAATCCAAACAGCTGTGGTGCTTGGCTGACATGGACGAAGGACCACGTGGACGACGCAAATGAAGGAGCGGTGGGAGGTCGATGACGGGCACCTTGGCGACGGACGATGTTGATGATGCGGCGCTTCGCTGCTGTGGACGAAGGACCACTCCGATGGCACGGCGGTTGGCTGGCGTGGATGCAGGAGGACGTGGATGGCCGCGGACCCCAAACCCGCCGATCGTAGCGTCGAAGCGGATGACTAGGCGTGCGACGACGAGACCATGCACAGACGGTGCCTTTGGAGCCGTCAGGATAGAATGGCAGCGGTAGAGAATGCCTCTCGGAATCCCATTTTGTACGTTGCGCGGTCTCGCACCACACCATGGACATGCCAGGCCGTCCACTACAGCCCGCCCCTTCGTCGATCCACAACAGACAAAATTTCTCGCGGCGTGGAGGTCATCCTCCGCATGACGAACAAGGCACAAGGGCGCGCAGGAGCTCCCCGCAGAAGGTACAAAGACCCCGCCCCCCATCCGTCCTCTACCGCCCCCAAAAAAGGCCTGGAGCTCCAATCCGCCATTTTCCCCTTGAGCCCGAAAAAAAAAAAAAAACACCCTGCCGCCTATACATTCGCGGAAACCCCCAAAGAACACCCTGCAACATCGCTATCCATGCGTGGAGACAACAACTCACAACAGCGGCCTTTAAACACTATCTACAAACGGTGGACCTGCTGTACAACCTGAGGACACGCCCTTCACAATCGTTAATAAAACGCGCGATTATCACTACGCGCGAGCAATGACGACTCGCCGACTGTGCACAACCTACACATCAGCGCACTGCGCCATGGAGGACGACGGAAACAGCGATGTGCCGGAAGCGCATACGGGCCATGGCTTCAGACGTTCTACATGAGTGGTCGGCCCACGTCAGGCTCTTTCACGGATCGCTTTAGCAATCTCCATGAGGGCGTTACACATCATGAAATTCGCCTGGTCAGCCTTCTCGTAGATCGTTTGCCTGCCCCGCCACCGCCACCGCCACCGCCACTGCCGGAGAACGACGAATCCCTCGTCGATCCGCGATCGTCATCCGGACCACCCCCCCCTACGTCACTACCGCCGGATTCGTTTCGCCCGCCCGCCGGGCCATGCATTTGAACACCTCCCGGCGCACGCGTGTCTGCGAGATTCGTGGGGTGTATAGTGTGATCGCTCCCGGACATCGCCTTCATCTCCGAATACACGCGCTCATCCATCCTAAAGTCGAACCCCCGCTCCCTCCTCTCCCCCGGCGTTAGTGTGAAGAAGTTAGGCTTCGCGGATTCTCCCATGAACGTGTGCACGGATTTGAACTGCTGGTACAGGTTGTCCCATTTCTTACCGCAGTCGATGGCCTTCCTGCTCGTCACCCCCATCTGCACAAGCCTCTTCTCCACATCCTCCCACTTCCATGTCTTCGTCTTCATCTGTCCGTAGTTGTGCCCCAGGCCGGCCAGATGCGAATCCTGGTCTCTTTTGGCTCTGATAAGAGCGATCATATGCTCCACTGTCCAAAAATCCCTGCTTTTTGTTCCGTCGCCCGCCGACAATTCTTCGGCGCACTTCTTGCCTTTCCGCCCCGTGCGCGACTCTCTAACCTTGGTTGTCGCCGTTGACCCTCCGCGCTTCCTCCCTACTGGACGAATCTCCATCTCACCGTCGTCATCTTCGTCGTTGTCATCACGGCCTTCGTCTGCAGCGATCTCCTCCCCCCCTCCAGCATCGCAGTCCACGAACACGTCGTCGACCCCCACACTCATTCTCGCCACCCCTCTCGTTATGCTGGACGTGTGCGCGGAACACAATCGTTGTCGTTCATCATCCCAAAACTGACGACCGACGACCTCTGTAGCGGCGCGCTCGTCGTCGTTCCCTTCTCTGTCGATTGTACCGCCTGGTGTCGTCGTTCGGCAGCCAGCCAATCCACCTGTCTTCGTCCTCGACGCGGCCACACTTGCTGTACTCAAAGCCACCCGTCTCGGCGAAACGAATCCACGACTATCCGCAGGGCCAGCCGCCCTCACGGAAGGCGATGTGTGTTTGGTGGCAGAAGCCGGGTTCATGACAACAGTGTGCATCATGCCCTTGCCACTCCCAGACCTCAGACCGAAGCTCATATCGACGAGGCCAGCGTCGTAACCAGCGGGGGTCCGACCCTCCAGCAAATCCGTGTACGTTGGCGTCGATTCGTGTCTGTACACCTGGCTCCCCATCCAATCCTGCGTCGAACCGCTGCCAGAGGAAATGTTGAGGATCTGGGGTCGTCGACGTCGTCGTCACTCGGAGGCAATGGAATCTTGTGGGACGGCAGGTGGCTGTACAGCGTCGGGTCGTACGGCCGCCTGCCGCCTTCCGCACTGTTGCAACGCTGACGCGAGGACCCCCCACCTTCCACCGACATCGCCATCTTCGTCTGAAGCTTATCCATCTTCCTCGACCTCTTCGGCGTTCGACGCGTCTGTTTCCTTCCAGGAACGTGACCGAGGAAACAAATGTGGAAGACAACAACGATGAGCAGCGGCAGAGCGACGAGCAGTAGCAAAGGCAGCCTGCGGTACAGGTCTGCCATGAACGACAGGTTTGCCGACACAGAACCGTTGTCGCATTCGCGGCGAGCAGAGACACACTGTGCGAGAGGGAAGACGCTAACGAACCAAATTCATGCAAGCAGTGACAGGCGGACGATGCTTACAAAATCCGTAATTCCGACCGTTGGGAAGCCCGCGGGAACGCCACGAAACCTCCGGGCGCCGGCCGAAGACGTCCGACGATCGGCATGGCCCCTCCGTGGGGCCGCCAGAAGGACCTGCAGGGCCGTCCCGCGATTCAGCGCCAACGGTAAAACGAGCAGGCCGTTTCTAGAGGTTTTCGACGACGACGGCCGGGGATGTCCGTCTTCTGGCCGCTGGACCAGCACTTGACCACCTTCGGCCTCCAATTTCCGTTCTGGAGTAGCCGCCGACACCCCGTTAATCGCGGATCCTCGGGCTCCGAAGGACCTCGCGAGGTCCTTCGAGTTCGAGGATGATTTGGCTGGGAAATCCTCCATGACTGTTTTCACATTTTCATTTCCGATTTCATCTCCGAGGACAGGTGGAACGACGACGGAATCCTTGGAATCGTGTCCCCGAGGAATGTCTAACGACGCCCTAACTCCCTCTTCACCTTTTGGCTCCTAGCTCCAGCATAATTTTGAGTGCCTGGGCCTATATAGCCGTGTAGTCCTTGGCGGTAGGCCATGGCCACACTTCCAATATTCCCTTTGCTCTCACAGCACAGACGTAGTACCACTACCTTCTTCCCCCGGATATAATGCATTTGCGTTGTATTTGAGTTTTCGAAAAAAAAAGCTTTTTCAGAAGTTGGTACCTTCTTTTCAAATAGAAGGGCACTTCGAATACAATGCATATACTTTGTATTCAAATAACACGCATATGCATTCCATTCAAATTTAGAAAATATTCAAATAGAATCCTCTTTCTTTTTCAGGTCAACGCATATGCGTTCTCTCTCTCTCTCTCTCTCTCTCTCTCTCTCTCTCTCTCTCTCTCTCTCTCTGTGTGTGTGTGTGTGTGTGTGTGTGTGTGTGTGTGTGTGTGCGTGACCTGGGACCTCACTCCACTACTCTCGACATGAGCAAATGCAAGTGAATCTGTCGCTAGAACATGGAAAGATACACCACCATGATTTTTGGCTTTGTGCATGTCGAGAGTATTGGAGCCAGGTCCCTGCGCTCTTCTTGGTTGCCTCCCGCAGTCTGACAAACGACCGCCAAGAAAGTGGCAGCGGGGGCAGCGGGAAGCCATGAGGGATGCGGCTGACTACGCCAGGGCATTGTATTTTTCCATGTTCTAGTGGAAGATTCATTCTCATTTTGCACATTTGGTGAGAGGAGTGGAGGGAGGCCTCAAATGGCAAAAGGGGGATGAATCTTCAGCCAGAACATGGAAAGATACAAGAACACATTTTTTGTCTGTGTCATGCCCTCGGACACGGACCAGAACTAAGCCTACTCAGCCTGGACCGGGCCCCCTGCTGTCCAAAAAGTTGCGGCACGGCCCTTGATATAAGGCATATGCAGATTAAATGAACAAAATGCAACGTATGTGTTGTATTTGTTTACAACGCATATCCGTTATGTTCGGGGGAAGAAGGTAGGTTCAGTTAGCCACGGCCTGAGCACTTCACAACGAGGCACAACTATCCCAATTTGCAGGGCTATGGAATGACATCCCGATCTCACGATTGTGGTACTAACCAATAGCAGAATGATTCAGCAGCTACTTCTCTTATAGAGCCTGAAAGTGTATCAGTCCCGGTGTACTAAATGAGAGACTTAAGAAATCTTCAGCCTATTAATAAATAATTAAATATAAAAATATACATTTATTATATATTTTTCGTACTAACAGAATTCAAAATCTTGCTAAATCCTAACGGTCACGACGTAGACCACGCTTCCCAATGATCAGCGCCAGCAATCTTTTCATTTCAGTCTGGAAAAGACTGCGGTTTGGTGTGCAGTGGTCCCATAACGGGATACCGACCGGCAATTGCCCTGCTTAAAAGAAGTGACGGGTCTACCACTAGTAGGGGCCCATATCCGATGGTAAGGAGGGGGTTTATGACCCTCCATAGGGTGTGATAAGCTTCCTACCAATGCGGCTGCGGTTACCCTCCTTTTGAGGGTTTCATCCACGACGCTTGGTAGGTCACTTTCACTAGGCGGAATAGGTTCACGAGAAGTCCGCCAGTCTAGACCGTCCACTTTAAAAGTTTAATGTGAACGAACCGTTTGCTCCCCCGTGAAATGGTAAAGGGGCCATTCTGTCGCACCATAAAGGACAGTTAAAAAAAAAAAGGATTTAAATCCTTCAGTCGGGTGGGGGTAACGCCGCAATCACTCGAGAGTCGAGGCCCTCCGATTGAATAAAACTAAAATAAGGGCCTTGATCAAGTCACAATCGGAAAAACAGCGTTACCTTTTCTTCTCTCATCTTTCATTTTCTTTTCTTTTTCTTTCTGATCGTGACCACTATCATGTAGGCATCCCACAATCCCGTTAGGGGAGGTTCGGCGCGCAGTTGAAAAGACAGCGCCGGACTTTTCACTTTCTCGTTTTTGGGCGAGCCCGGCAGCTACCACGAGCACAGGGCATCGAGCTTGCATGGACCAAAGGAAAGCCCAGTGGCGCTCCCCCACCTTTGGTCGGTTGGAACACCAACCGGACCTGTCCAGGAACTGGTCATGAGCAAAGGCCGTGAACGGGACGCGCCTGGTACACCGCGGAGGGCTGGGACACCATGCCCTCCGACAGCATGCCATTTCGACTGGGAGGGGGTTGTTCTGATTGATTGCTTCAGTGCACCCCAACTGATTATGCCATATTCTGATCAGATGGTGCTTCCCCGGTCGGTGCGCATGCCACGTGGAATCCTCAGTTTAACTGCAGGTGGTGCAAGCTCGAAAACTCTTGTTCCGGGCGACGGTTGGTGCTGGGGTACCAAGAGTCCATTCGGTTACCGGATCTCTCCCACCACGCGAGTGCACTTCCAGCAGGCTTTCGGGTCCTGGTCCCTCCGTGGCAGCCGCCGTCAGATGGTGAGGAGTCCGCCAGATCGGACGAACGGGATTAGCACGTCCCCTCCGACCCCGAGGTTTCTTTTTCCTGAGTCCCTCCGAAAGAACGGGCTGAATGTTAGTCCTTCGTTCGTTTCTTTCAAGCTAATCCCATTCTGTTTGCCAGCGGCCTTCTGTCTTTTACGGAAATACCCCCACGGGTCGGGAGAAATTTTGAACTTGTTCCACTCCTTCTCGTCTTGTTCTGTAATTTTGCCTGTAATTCTGTCATCGCCTTTGTCGAATTTTGTGATTTCCCAAGGTATCCGACGTTCTCACGGGCACGAGACACTGCGCGCGGTGTGAGGTTGCGTATCACATGCTAAAAGTGGGGGGGGGAAGGTAGGCAGATGTGAGCTGGCAATGACTGGGTACCAAGTGGGGTCTCCCAATTGCTCGTGACCACTGACCCTGTCTTCCCTTCCATGTATCACAAACTTCATGTTTTCTTTGCTTTTCCACTCCTTCTCGTCTTGTTCTGTAATTTTGCCTGCAATTCTGTCATCGCCCTTGTCGAATTTTGTGATTTCCCAAGGTATCCGGCGTTCTCACGGGTACGAGACACTGTGTTCGGCGTGAGGTTGCGTATCACATGCTAAAGGGGGAAGGGGCAGGTAGGCAGATCTGAGCTGGCAATGGCTGGGTACCAAGCGGAGTCTCCCAATTGCTCGTGACCACTGACCCTGTCTTCCCTTCCATGTATCACAAACTTTATGTTTTCTTTGCTTGCCAGAAATAAGTAACCGGACTTACACCCCCCAGAACAGAAGGGGAACCGTGTGTGTGGGTAAAAGAGAGGGAATAAAAAAAAATGAAAGCCCGAAATGGGCGCACTGAAAAGGGTTCGAGATGGTTGTGGGCTACTTGGGGCGCAAGGAATCAGTTGGTCACAGACGGAGGGCAGGGGCAATTGAAGTGAGCCCCTTGTTTGATTGATAGGCCGATGGAGGCCTGCCTAGCTTCAGTTACCGAAAACCTGGTTGAATGTACTGTAGGCTATAGCTTCGTTAGGTTTCCATTGCTGTTTTGAACTCTGTTACTCTGTTGCCTTGAACCTGGTTGTGGACCTCCTAGTCATACCGTGTGTTTGTTGATGGCTTGCCGGTGGAAAGGAACCGGGCTGCCGCCTCCCAGAATGGATAGAGGACACAGCCATAAGGCTGGTGTTTGATGTGAAGAAAAAGGAAAAAAGACATACGAAAGAAGAAAGAGGGCTCTAGCACCACAGGTCAACTCACCAGGTAGGACTTCCACCATTGGTGGCGAGCTGCAAGCAAGCCAGCCCAGCAAGTAGATATACACTCCATGACTTTGAGGTTTCACAAATTGAAAAAACAGCCTCAGTTTCCCGTCGTTGCCTCGAAAATCATAACTGTAAATGTTATCAACTCCAGTGACTTTGGGTTGAACTTGCTCATTTTCTGCATTTATCCAGCTGAGATCTGTTCCAGGGGATGTGCCTCTGAAAAGAAGATCGATGTTGCAGAATTCGCCTACGCTTGTCTTCAGATCCCCAGATATTTCACACGTAACGCTGCCCATTGGGAAGGCCTCTGGCCGAGCTAGCGAACCTTTGTATCCACCTCCAGCTTGGGCAGATGGCGGTGGTGCGGCTGGTGCCCCTGATGAAGTTTGTGGTGATGGTGCCGAAGTGCTGACTGGATTTGCATACGGTACAGTAGGCGCCACTTGTGTTCCCTCATCTGCTGAGTGCAAGGAATATG